AACTAAAGCCAATTCATTACGAATTAAGATAAAACAGGTTGAATTTAAGAGGCATAGAATATTCACGAAATGCTACATTAAATGTATTACGAAAAATAAATGCTTGGGGATGAAAAAATTACAGAATAAGACTGTTCACAAATGAAACTGTCACACCTTAGTGCTTCATTGAGACAGGAGTTATCATTTCGAACGAAAAGTAAACTGGAAAGAAGTCGTGAAAGCACGAGAAGAACGGCTGGGTTAGAGGAGACTTGAATAGTCTCAGTTTTGGCTAGGACTTGCTTCACATGAATTTGACATTGCATACACACAGTACACAATGCATCAAATACAAATACGCACCAGGATCATAAACTTGATATTTAAGCAAGGAAAGAGCTGCTACAATATAAATTTCCTTACACACATCAGCCTCCCCCTGAAAGAATGTATATTAGGCATGAAATGGCCGACGGGATATGGATTGGCCAACGCTGCACTTACCGGGTTCAAGTCCCGCTGGGACCTAGGTAGCGATACCACTCTTGTGGTGTACTTTGAACGAAGACTAAGTGAAATTCAATGGAAGCGCGGGTGCCTAACCAGATCATTATGGGACAAATCAGCTACCCGTCCTTAGCTAACTTGAAGGAAATAGGGCGAATATACATCATATATGATCCCTCGATAGTTTAGAAAACCTAGCTATAAAGGAAAAGTGAAGGAACGCCTCATTAGGAACAAAAAGTCACTTTAGAATCAGTTTTAGAACGAGTTTATTGGGGTCGCAGTGCGGTGAGCAGAGAATTTTTCCCCACAATCCAACAGCTATTCCAAAGCAATTATACTTCGGTTCCCGGTGAGACCAATTCACTAATTCCATTGAACCAACTTTTCCTGTAAGCGAGAGAATATCTACATAATTGATGAATTGGAGGGATAGAAGTTCTAACTCAGTTATGATGCAATTCTTATTGGTTGGTCTCATATACTTAAAAATAAAATTGCGTATCCTAAAGAAGGCTGGTCTGTTCCGTCACGACATTATGGCTTTGTAGTGAGGCCGAAGATTTGTTGTAGCTCTGACCCAGCAGCTATAACGACAACTCAAATCAATCAGGAACACGTCAGTCATATGAATGAGCCATTAAGACAATAGAGCATCTAGGAATGACATACAATCAAATATTATCAGGCTTAGTATGAAATATGTTTGTGATAATAAAACATGGCCTGCTTCGAAAAAATATAGAAATCCAAGGAATTTAATCCTAAAAAGATTCTGACTTATTTATATTTCAGAGCTCAAGGCTGCATGAGTTGAAAACAAGGATATGGTTACATACTCATAAAAACAGAGAATACCAATCGAGCAGCACCCGAATAAAGTCGAGCAAAAAAATAAAGAACCGTAAGAACTGTCTACATTTCTCATGGTCCGACTTTTAACAGATCTACATTCGGTACACTGAGAATATAGTATACTTTTTTACAGACTAAAATGCTTCTAAAATACAGTAAGAACCCACAATTGGGAATGCCAAGGATGGACATTAAAAATAAAGATGGCCAAACAGCTTCATTAGAATTAAGGTAATATTGACAAAATAAATGTAGATTCGCTAAACTCACAAATTATAGACAAACTTAAAGCATCCCAAAGCAAACGGACAAATCTACTGATAAATGAAAATGGAATGCCTTCGATATGGAAGTAGGCGAACTAAATCATTGACGATAGTCATGAAGTTAAGCATAACAGGCATAGTTATTACTCTAAACAACGCTGATACTGGATGCTACTCAAAATACGATGCTTTAAAGTATAAGGTTGGCCTGCTCATTTAGAATGCGAGAAAAGGAACTAATCAAAGGTATGACGCTTAGTCGAATAAGCAAAATGAGGAAAGAATAAATATCAAGCAAAGCTGGCATAGTATTAGAGCGCCAAAATTGAGGAGCTGCACGAAAAATATCGACTGGGGCTAGCGACTATTCATTGCTGCAAAAGGCAAGTATATTCAAAATTACGGGCACAATAAACTCTAAATAGTGGGCCATCCAGAGTGCATGGGTGGGAGGGAGCCTGAACCTAGGTAAATACTCGCTGAAAGATATAGAGGAAGTGCAGGAATATGAGTAAAGGATATCTCTATAGTTCTAAACAAACCCCAGCAAGAGCGAAAATTAGCATTGAATTGAACTAATAAATATTGTAAGCCGAACAAATAATGGCTTAACAAACCATAAATAAATAAAATATACAAGATCGTCCAGTGGATATGACTTTTAACACAAGGTTTAATCAAAATTCAAAGCTTGGAATCGGCACTTGTCAGAGAACTGGGAAAAGCAACATATGATTATGAATGATTTGCCTTTTTAAAAATTTTATAAAATATACTATCTAGAACAGACAATAGAGCCGAAATCAGCTGTCATATGAATGAAGGATGAAACGATCCTTCCCTTTCAGCAGTGATTTGGGTATGCTTATAACCAAAAGATTCAACTACGACCGTAAAAACCAAATTACGCAAAGATTTTCGTTTATAAGTAGCTTTTCGAGACTATCAGTGGATCGAATTTAAGATTCATTTAAGGTGATAAGACTGGTAGTTGGACTTACCACAATAATATGAGTAATTCTTACGTTTCCATTTCACTTCACATAGCCTTGCTTTTCTAAAAGTTATTCTTATCCAGGATGGATTGCAGTTTCGACCTCGCATCAGCAACCTCAGCGGAACTCAAACCATGGTAGTGCAGCGTATAATCTAGACACTTTATGGGGCTTAGTGGTTAACGTATCGACATTATCAAAGTTTAAGTCCCACTGGAGAGCTGATGAGACCTAGGCGAAGTCGAAACTACACTCCACCCTGAATGAGAATATCTTATGGGAAAGCAAGTACATGTGAAATTCAATAGGAACGTAAGATCTACCCATATCAGTGGGAAACTCAACTACCTGCCTGTCCACTTAAATGAAATAAGGTAGATACGCCTCATACATATGCAGTTTAGTAGCTTCTAAAATTTTTGAAAAAAAAATAAAGAAAATTGACAGATCGCATTAACGAAACAGAGCCTTTTCTTCTTGATTGAAGTCAATAAATCTGTATT